GCGTTAACCTCCCCCGGCGCCAGGGAGCAGCAAGAGCTGGTTGCCTAGGAGGAGCCGCTCTCGAAAGGCTGAGCAGAGCCGTGCCGGGAGCCCCGGGCAGGCTGTAATCCCTCCCCGCGGAGCCGGGCTCCCTCCTCTGCCTCCCCGGAGGTGGGCCCTGCGGCCCAGGCCCCGGCGTGGGTGTGGGCGCTTCACCCCTGGCAGGGAGTTGCCAAGGCGGAGGTGAGAGGGGTGCTCACGCAGGAACCCTCTCCTGGGTAAACAGGTGCAGGCAGCGCGTCGGGGTGGTTTGGGCTGCGCAGGAGGTCCGAAGCCACGGAGCATGACTAGTCCTGGCACAAAGGGGTCATGGCTCTCGCAGCCGATGGTGAAGAGTGTGCTGGTGTATCGCAACGGGGACCCTTTCTTCCCGGGGCGCCGTATTGTCATCAATGAGAAGAAAGTGTCCAACTTCGAGGTATTCCTGAAAGAGGTGACAGGCAGGGTGAAGGCACCCTTTGGAGCTGTGCGTAACATCTATACCCCTCGGGGTGGGCATCGTGTCCGGCAGCTGGAGGAGCTTCAGAGCGGAGAGCAGTATGTGGCTGGTGGCAGGGAAGCCTTCAAGAAACTCAAGTGAGTGGCTAAAAAGTAACGTAAGATTTATATGGAACTTGAATATCAGCGTTTGGGGTTTGGCACTGTGGCAATACTTCAGAGGAGCCCCTCCACCCCACCCTTTTTATTAGGTATTGCACAAAGAGGACTTAAAGGCTGTGACGAAGGCAAAAAGAAAGGTACTTTTAACACAAAACTGCAAAAGAGCTTTAGAGGCAAGCCACAGAAAGGCTGCTGTTACCATCAGTCGCATAGTGCCATCTCCTTGATATGACAGTAGGAAAGGAGAAACAACCCTTTAACCCGAAGGACATGCATCAATGGCATGTTGTTGTGATGTGTGTGCTTAACTGAGGGGCGAGTGTCAGTATTTGTGCTCAGTGGTAACAGGGAGAAAGCTGTAGAACAGTGGAGTGTTGACAGTCCTGCCATGAAGTTGATGAGCCTGGGAATTTAATTCCCAACACTTCCTTTATTGCTTATTTTTAAAAAGTCTGAAATATTCTGCCCAGCTATCCACATCTCCATCACTTATGTCCATTTTGGGTAGATATATAGCCTTTTTAAGACCAGAATAGCTGAGTCCCTCCTGTTATTTAAAAGATGACTGTTTGCTTTCTTTTCCCTGCCTAGACACCAAGAATTAAGCTGACAGTTTCTCCGTTTTCTAGTGAGTGACTGGGAAAGTATTGTGGAGGAGATCTGGGCTTTTAGGTGTGTTTCCCAAGTGGCTCTGCATGTGAACAGTAATGGTTCTTAATTCTGGTAGTGAATTTCATGGTCTCAATTGCCTGATTATATGTTTTTTTCAGTCTTTGTGGGCATTTTTCCTACGGTTGAGTGAAAAATCTCAAAATTAACAATCCCTTTTTGGAGGTAGTTGGGAATTTGTATGCTAAACTACCAGCTTTACAGGACTCACTCATCTTGGTTATGTAGAGTTGAGGACACTACATTTTTCAGGAGACCTCATTATGTTTCAGGATGAAACTCTCTGAGTAATGAATAGGATCTCTATCAGCACTCTTACCGTTTTTGTCACTGTCTGCTTCTAAAGATTTATTGAGGCTTCCTGCACTTCAGTGGCAAAGCTAGGGAGAAAGATGTATAGCAGGCTAAATATAAGCCCCTTTCCCTCTGTACTGTCTTCCATGTCAAATGCAGTGCTCAACGCTCAAGAAAGATCCACCGTATCTTTTTTTTTTATTAAATGCTGTGATTCTGTGGATGGCTTAAAGTTGTTAGTTGTCAGCACATCATGTTTCACCTCCCTAAATGTGTTTTATGTTCAACAGACAGGCTAAAAGTAATAAGTGTTTGGTGTTAGCATGCACCATCTAGAGGAATTGGGCACTCTGGATTTATTTTGGGTGGGAAAAAACATTTCTTTTTGTCATTTTGTGTTTTATGGTCAGAGTTTTATGGTGAGAGCTTTTCAGACTTTTATGGTTGCAACATGTAACAAGATATCTAAGTATTTAAGGTCAACAAAGAGAATACTTTAAGAAAAGCTAACCTAAAGGACTCGGTAAAAGCAGGCTGGTTTATATGTCCCTTGATAGTATGCCATAGTCCTGTGCTGTAGGGAGGATAAATGGGATGACTTGAGATCTTTTCCATTTCTGTGTTCAGAGTTGGAGTTTTTCACAATTAGTATTTATTTATATAGTGCTGTAAATGTTGGCAGTGCTTTTATAAGCATTATTTAAGACAGGCTCAAGGGCTTAATGTTGATCTTGGTCTTAACTGGGTTGTAGACAGAATGATAATTAGGGAGACATCTTAGCCAGAAAGGTCAGAGGAGAGGAGGGGTTAATTGAAAGGGACAGTTTTCTGCAAGGAATCGAAGGAATTCAAGAAAAGAGTGTATGTTTGTGTACGTGTCACAGGCAGATAAAGCAGTTGCAGCTGTGGGAGACCAAAGCATCTGCCCTGCGTAAAGGATCCGAGTCTGGCCTGATAGCAGCAAGAAGCTTGGACGTTTTTTACGATTTTTTTTGCAGTGATGATTGCTGGACACATTCATTGCTATGATAGACTATGCAGGGCTGAACTTTGAAATGGTTGTGACACCGATGTATAGGAGCATAACGGAAAGGAGAGAGTATCCAAGGAGAAGCAGAAGCTGAAAATGTCATCACTCCACTTCAAGCAGTGCATTTGTTTCTTCTCAGATGTCTTATACTGAGAACTGAATCTTTTTCTTCCCTGTCCACAGTGAATTCTAGACTACACTGTGCTCACCTTTAGCATGTGAACCTCTGTCATTCCAAACCCTGAATCTTAACATCTTCAGATAGATACTTCTGGGAGTATATAGTCAATATAAACTGCCAATATATTTAATTTTTAAAATTAAAAAAAAGTAATCAGCATTTCAAAAGTCTTCTTTTAGAAAAATATGTAGAAATTTTCTTTAAAGGAAGAATTATTAGCCAATGTTGGGAATTTCCATAAAATATATCAAGTTTCCCAGCTTGTTTTGTCACTTACAAGTGCGCTAAGTGAATACAAGCTTTTTTTGGTGTATATGCAGTGAGGTGTGTTGGTATATTGTAGTTGTTGCAGTTATGAGTGAGAATGCACATTCAGGCCTGCACCCCTGCAGAGTTCTTCCCTGACTCTCAGCTTCCTGAAAGGAAACTCTCTGTGCTGGAGCTGGTTTCGATTTTTAGCTTTTTTTCAACATGCTACTCTGCCCTTCTCCTTCTTTTGTGCGTTTACTTGTATTGATGCTCATTAATTAATGGTAGATTGTCCTCTCTCCAGCAGTGTCTCTTTAAACAGCACTGTAGTTTCATCACTGGCTTCGACAGTCATTGGGTGGAAGTATTTCTGCTTTCTTAGCAGTGGCAATACTTGTGTAAAGTTTTTGGTCTGGGATTTTTTACCCCAAGAAAAGCCTTTGGCCCTATTTAGACCTTTTCAGATTTGGAGATCTCTCAAATTTGATAACTGAATGCCCAGACCCTGCATAGTGAATTTAAGCCTTTGACTACATATTTGCTTTTCTTTGTCACTTTTCTTAGTTCTCCTTGAAGTAATTCACAGATGCCCAGAAAACAAGAACCACAGTCAGCAACTGTTGTTATAGGCTGTTGGAACTATTTTGTCTGAGGCATTTATTTCTGTTCTGTCTTATTGTCTTTCAGACCTCTTTTTTTTGGTCTGAAGAGAACTCATTCCTTTTTACATGGAGAAGCTTGCAACAGTTGTTTTTGTTTGTTTTTAAACATGAGGCTTGGACACTTTGTTTTTAAACATTGTCCTACATTGCTACATTTACCTTTTCCAAAGCCTTGGCATGCACTTTCAAGCATTGCCTGGAAGCCTTGCGGTGTCTTACTGTCCCTGCACACTGAAGCCTTGAAATCCTTGTGACCATTCTGTGGTACCTTGATAAACAATTGCCATTCCTTCAAAGAATCAATGGTGCTTTTTCTTTTTTTTTTTTTTTTTTTTTTTTTTTTTTTTCTTCTACACTTTCATTCAGGTCTCATGAATTCTCAACTCTGGCCAGGCAGAAAAGCTTCCTCTGGCAAACAAATCTTATCTCAGTCATTAACTACAAAGCATGATGTTACTGGAGGGCTGCAGATGCATTGTAGGCTCTGAGGTCTTTTGGTGAGCCTGCACTGATGCTTGCCATCAGGTATACCTGACGTTCTCAGATAGGGTCTTCTAGTCTTAAAAGCCTGCCAAAGCGCCTGTGGTTTCCCACTGAAAGTGGGAATAGGGAGAACTGGTAACAAATGCCCATCACTTGATGTTGGATTAGATGCTCCCAGCGTAGAATAGATACCCCAACCATTTTTGTTCTCATGTTTAGCTCATGGCAGAAGGTGCTGAGAGGTGCTGCTGTACTGAGTTATAACTGCCCACAGAGGTGTCTCTTCCTACAGCACTGAGAACTAGAAACATCTTGCAGTGCCAGCAGCTACCAAGAGCTGCGTTCATGAGAAGAAGCACTCTCATGGCTCTCAGTGCTGACAAGGGAAAGGAGGTAGCATAGTCTCGGTACCCAGACAGTTGCCTGTTTGCCAGTCTATGAGTTACTCATGTTTGAAGGCTTATTTAATTCCCTTTCTTTGGAAAGGCAACATACAGCTAATCTGTCACTGTGTGTTTTAACTAACGCTTTTGTGGGAATACATACTCTGACAGAGAGCAGTATTGTTCAAATAGATGTATTTTGTTTTCTTGTCCAGTTGAGGCTTGAATTTCGTCTATTCATAAAATAATTCTGAAGATGTTATTTGTTCATCACAACCATGAGAAACCAGGATATACAGTGTTTGGATGTGTCCATGTCCTGTTGAAACACAAGTGGTGTAGATCCTTTTAAACTTTAGCTGATGTCCTGGGTTAAACTCGGGTGTGGAGGAAGGCTTTAAATGTATCAGAGACTTACTGTGAGAAACTAAGAGGCAAGAAGATGACTTCGAAAACTCTGGTAAGTGGATATTATGCTGAGATTTATTGATCCACCTCATGGTAGTATGTGAGCTTCTTTCTGACAAGGGGACTATTGATGGTCTGTTCTAATCACCAGTGATTTGAAACTAGATGGTTGGTTTTCCCCTGTTTTTTGTATTAGCCCAGAGGGCTAGCTTGCAGATTTATATTAACACTCCTTCATTAAAATAATGAATTAGTTACTTTTTGTGTTATTTTGAGGCATGATAAATTTTAAAAGCTTCTGGTGTGACAATAGTGTAGAAATGTTTGTATTGTGTAAGTTAGATGCTTCTGTAAATAATCAGTACTGTTTTTCTTCTACAGCTATTTGGACATCAGAGAAACAAAGAAAAAACCTGCTGAAGTCAATAATGAGGTAGGATGTCCGAAATATTTAAGAAGTAAACCTGCAGTTGATGTTAGTGACATGCCTGCATTTATGCCTTATTTTTTATATATATTGATTATGTTTAACAGTAATACAGTTATCTAGAGATCTGAACATATTATTTCAGTGATTATTACTCTCATTGCTCTGAGCGTGATGCACTGATTGTCTTTGGCTCCGCTTTCTAAATTGCTGCATCCAGTTAAAAACTTTCAGTAAAGAAAATCTCATGTTGTCATCATTGGATCTGGTCATAAAACTAAGGGAGCTTTTTTCATGCAGAAAAAGATGGTGGGAATGAGACTTTTGGGAGTTTCTTCAAAATTTGGTATTTTCTCTGGAGAAGGTACATTTTTGTTTGAAAAAATCACACTTAGTTGAAATGCTTTTCCAGTCGCTGCCAGTGTCAGTTGTAAAATTCTAACTAGTTCTAGTCCATAATTCTCCAAAGTCACCTCTTTCTCTTGAACAGGGCGATGCTATAGCCTGAGGAGATAAAGGAGATAACAGAAAACATTGTATGTGGATTTTTGTGAGATGCATGACTCTGCGGTTTTTTCACTGTTTTATTCTGTATGGAGATAGCAATGATTTGCAACAAACATTTGAATTACAGCTTCTGCCTGACAAAAAGCATCAGCTCACTATTTTTTCAATTTCTTTTGCCTTGTGCTGTCGTGCCAGGTTTCTAGCAATTTAACGGTTTGTGTAGCAGGTGTCTCCAGATAGTAGGACACCTTGTACTAAAAGACTGTGAAAAGTGAGGTCTTAGTGCACTAATGACACTTGCTGTGATACTCGGACACTTCTTATTCAGAGGCTATGAAATATGACACCTGCATTTTGTAAACGATCATAACTTTGTAACCCTTTTTTTTTTTTTATTTGAATGGGCACAATCAACAGGAAAATCAAATTCAAGTCAGAGACTTGATTTACTACAAGTACCATATAAATTTACTCTAAATTGGATTTTTTCCAGTTTATTTATTTATTAATTTATGCAATCAACCAAAACATTATAGAGACAGTTTTGTTGTTTTTGTGTAGCCATTCATGTCTCTGTTGTTTTGGGTCTTTTTTACAAAGGAAAGAGAATGATTTTAAAAAACAGGAAAAGTTAATTAAACACTGATGAGACAGAAGGGTTATAATGTGTTGCTGACATGTATATCGAACTGAGCAACATACCTTCACAGATCCACTATCTAAGCTTTCCCATGTCTTTTATTCATCAATTCCATTTTTGACCTCCAGCATTTTCTTATGCCAGTCCTGAGTCTCCTCCGATCAAACCTTGTGAATCTTGCTGAAACTAGTTATTTGTGACATTGCAAGGTGCACAGGCAGAGAATCAAGTAATTAATCTCACTTTTAATTGTGATCTAAGTAAGAGATTACAATTTTTGGGGGGCGAGTAAAATGTTTTGTACAATAGCAGTATTGCACTTATCTGAACCTTCAACGCAGAAAACAGTTCTGAACCAAAAAAACCACCTTTGGATGTATAACCCGTCTTCACTATTTTTTCTGAACACCTGAATGTGTGGATAGCACCATACTTTATGCTAAAACAGTGTCTGTGTGAAAAAGAAAATGATTCCTACATCTCCAGGATGACAAAAAGAAAACTTGGGGAAATTACTTCTAATTATCTCTGAAAATGTGGTGGTTTGCATTCACTATTGTGTGCGGTGTGACTAATTCCATATGCCCTTTGCTGAGAAGGTAGCTGTATTCATGGAAGACTCTTAACCAAATATCCTGATACTGTCAGTTATCAGGACAACCACAGGCTTGCTACTTTAAGTCTAGTTTCAAGGCTGATGATTTTGCTGCAAATCCTTAGAAGATTCTCGATATAATAGAAATTCTGTGCAGTTGGAGAAGTAGTTGCAGAAGTTGTGGTTTTTTTACTTACAGTTGCATGTTTGGTAAGAGAGGCATCTATTATTTCTTCTGGAATCAGTGCTCATTGTATATTAACACTTTCAGCCATCTCTCAGTGCTTTGAAGTAAACCAGAAAAAAACATCCATTATCTCAGCTTTCGTTCCTCCTGTTTGACTTAATATGTGCAATCTCCATGGTCTCTGTGGAGAGCTTAACTCCCTATGTTGAGTTTAACTTTATGTGATTGATTTATTTGAGGAGTCATAAAATTGACATGAGACCTAGTAGCAGTCTACAGATTTTTATCTAGGCTTGTGAATAATACAATTCTTTTCATGCCTTAATAATTTAGTCCCAGGAATGAACTTTCAAGGGGCTACTAACAGAAGTTTCAATGCCTAAATACATTTATGTTAAAACGATTTGAGGAAGCAAGTTCTGGTTTTACTTGATTTCTAAGTGAATGCTTGAAAAACAAAAACCCCTAGATGTGTTTTAGGACCAGTAAGGCAGCAGTATTGCTATGTTTTTATTCTCTTTGATTCTGCTGGATTTGCATCGGCAAATAAAAAAATCATGTTTTTCCATGGAGCCTTGTAGCAATCTTTGATGCTAGCCCACAAAGGTGTTTTGCTTTCATAAGGCATTATTTTAGATTGAATTTCAGAGGTAAAATCCTCCCTGTTTGTTTCATTAGAAGAAGAAAAAAATCAGTGTATATGTGAATGACGACATTGCTAAAGAAAGAAATTTATGGCTCAGTCCTGCAAGCACAGCAAGGTGTAGTTTGTGAATCATCTCAAAGACTTCAGTAGGAAGATTACCATCTACAGAGAAATTTGTGGGTCAAGTTTCTAGTGTTCTGGTGGGCTGGGGTGGGAGCAGAAGGAAAGAAATGAATAAAATTATTTTGTTTATTATTTGGGTCACTGTAGTTTTGCAGGCTCCTTGCAGATCAAGGACCAGTGTGCTAGGTGTTGAATAAAAAGCTCACTGATGGCCTCACAGACAACTCCAGCCTAACATCAGGGTGTTTTCAGACTGAACTTTACCAGGGCAATTCCTGCTCTCTTTGTGCTGGTGCTGAAGTATTAACCTGCTCTCTTTCATTAGCTCCACCTCTTTTTGCCTTCCTTGCCTTCCTTGCCTTCCTTGCCTTCCTTGCCTTCCTTGCCTTCCTTGCCTTCCTCTCACCCCCCAGCCCTCCCAGATGTTTTTAGAGCACAATATAGTTTGTCAGAGCTCCCACATTAATGCTCTGGATGTCAGCCCATTCTCATGACCTCAGTAGTGCTGCTGTTAGCTGGAGCCCGGAGACAGCAAAGACTGTTCTTCAAGCATGCTCCTGGGGTTTGCTTCCCACCTTTCTCACCTGGCAGCTAGCCTTGCTCTGGCCATGGCCTCGAGGGTGAGCAGTCACAGCAATAAATGGCCTTGTGCCACAGTACTCCTGAGTGCTGGTGGTGCATTCAGAATTGGTGCAGGACTTTTTGTTGCCCACAGGAGGAGATGGTCTTGGAGCTATTAGAGCTGGCTTGCCCTAGACCAAGTTTTGGAAGCGCATTGATGCTGACCTTGTGGTAATGACAGTTTTTCTGTACCTGCATAGTGCTGTATATCAAGGATCTGAAAACTTTAAAAAGGTAGCATTGGAAACAGTATTGGAGAAATTCATGTTCGGTAATTAAGGATGATATCCTTACAAGGGTACCAATTCTGGTTGTATGAAGCACACTTTATTTGGCATTTCCTACCTGTTGAGTATTTCTCAGTGCAGGTTTTTCTCCAGTAAAACAATGACAAATATCTATTTCCGGTTTTGGTTAGTGAGGAGGGAGGCAAAAGGAAGAAAATCTTATGCGGCAACTGTACATTGTGTATTTGTATGCAGCTGTAGGTTTTCTTTTATGTTAAATTGCCAAATGTTTGACATCTGCTTTTGGGAGTACTTTAATGTTATTCTTTGAAGGCAGCATCTCAATTACTTTAAATTTGGATAAAGCTAGAAAATGTGTGTCAGACTAGAATTAAACAAGAAAAAATTAATGCTCAAGATACAGTGTAAATACAGCGACCTACATTCAGAATGAAGAATAGAATAGATTGGGAGTATAAAGCATTAATTTTTTACTAAACTCTCTTCTCACTTTTCTTATGGAGTGACAAGACAGAATAAGAAGTCCATCAGAAATAGATTTCTCTTCCTTACTGAAATCTGTGATTCTGGTTTTGTAAGGAAGGTGTTCCAGGCTGGGGAAGCAAAAAAAGAAAATTAAGGAAAGTTCTCCATCTCATGTATTCTGAGAATTCATCTAATGAAATCCTATAGCTTCCGTTTTTGTAAGGTGCTGAGATTTAACATTTTGGGAACAGGTTCTGTCCCTGATGAAAGCAGTATTATTTCTCTCTGTTATACCCTGGTTCAGTCTTAGCTGGAGCTCCCCAAATACCATGGTCCTGTTGGTCTGTAAGGTGCACCTTGCCTTGCCTGACACATTTGGAGCTGACAGGGGTTTACAGCTAGTAAGTGCCTGTGTTCTCTGCGTGTCCTCTACAGCTGACAACCGGAGCTCTGGGGCAGGTTTCATCAAGAAGGTCTTAATGTAGATGTGTTGTTACAGCACAGCAATGAACCATTATGTAATGTTGTGTAATTCATTAAGCACTATGCATCTGTTTAATGTGAGAAGTGGAACATGCAAATAGATGTGATTGTAAGATGGGTTGGGATAGTTTGGGAGTGGTTTTTTTCTGTCTAAACAGCTAGGTTTATCGATGAGGGTCTACACCACCAAATACCTTATTACAAGTATCAGCAGCTGATTTCACCACAGGCTCTCTTAGGTGAAAGATGGATGAGGTAGAAAGAGTGTATTACATGTCCCCCATCAGTAGTGTCAGCATCCAAAAGCACATAAGCAGAGCAACGCAAGAAAGCTTTTATTTCTACTTTTTTCTAGAGTATCAACTGCATATAGCAATTTAATTTCCAGGGCTTTTCTTTTTAAAATAAGCATTGTTTTAAAAATAGTTGAAGTATGACAGTAATAACAGTGCTCTTAAAATCTTGCAAAATAACTGCAGTCTTGGTCTGTG